ACCCAGGGAACCCTAGCCGCCACCGCTAGCGGTCACCTCTGCCGCCCTCCCCCGCATCGACGTCGCTAGGGGGCCCCGTGAAGGAGGCGACAGGGCAGATCTGACCCCGTGCGCTCCACAATGACCCACCACCCCCAACGCGGCGGTTGGCTGCTGGTTTTGCGGGGCTGCGGGTGCGTCTTGGCTGTGTTGGGAAGCCGAATCCTGCATGCAGTGCCTCCCCCGTCGCCGAGCTCCTTAATGGCAATCGCGGGCGCGCCCATCCCCACCCCCTGCAGCTGCTTCCCTCAGGGCCGGCCCTGACATCTTATAGGCCCTTGTGCCAACTGCATATAATAGGCCCATACACTACAATACACCCAAAAATTACTTCCACTCACACTAGTAGAAAACAGACCTTTCGTCTGGAGCATTAGTCCCGGTCTGGTTTGGGCCCGGGACTAATGTGATCATTAGACCCGGTCCCAACGGCTAGGAGCGGACGGAGGCACGACCACCATTAGTCCCGGTTCATTTTTGACCTATAGTCCCGGTTGGTGATCATATGCATTGTCCACCACGAGAAGTCATTATAAAGGCAATTATAAATTTCTCTAGCAAATTTGTAGAATTCTAAATGACACATTTTTTCACAACTAAGTTTTCATGAGGTTGTTATTCTTCAATACTATGAACATCCAGAACCTACCTCCTCGGCAGTGACATTTCACAAAACGAATCTATGCATAGCACCATTTAGAATTCAGCTAATTGATCTACAGGTTTCCTCTTTTTTATATTCACACAACCAGATAAATGTTGTTTGTTCTGGCAACATTGTCCAATACAGGAGAGAGAACACCTGAATTCTAGAATCCTGTCCTTGTAGTAAATTAGAAGAAATCCCACGCTCCAGCTATCCAATCATCCAAATGCAAGCAATTGCATAAACATCGTAAAAGAGATAATCAAGCAAATCAAACATGAAGTAATCATAGCATAATATAGATAATTGGACTAGGCTCAAAGAACTGAGATGCAAAAAATTACATGAATGGACGATGGCCTGAGCGCTTGGCTTGAACAGTGCCCAGACTCCATCTCTACATCGCCTTCCCTCAGAGCCTAGCCATGACCTAGACGATGGACGGTCACACTGTGGGTTGCCGTTCTCGTTGCCTTCTCGCCTCCGCCCACATGAGGGCTTTGGGGTAGTTTGTAGGTTAAAAGATACCCAAGAATCCATCGGAGGGTAATACAAATTCGTTGATTAGCTTGGGGAATTGGAGTCACCTTCTTAGAAACTGGGGACAGTCAATTGGGGAAGAAGAAGATGGAGAGACTGGATTGACGGCATGTTCCTGGGAGAGAACAAAGGAAAGGAATACGTTCGTGCGTGACTTGCCTCCCTTCATCGGCTGGGCCTATTTTTTTTGTGAATACTATTTTTTTAGCAATACATATGCAGTATGCAGAAACAGGACATGGGCCCCTGATCGGGCTGGGCCCTACGCCGTCGCACTCACCGCCATGGCCCAGGGCCGGCCCTGGCCGCCCTTGCCTGTCCGGCGGTGGATGCGCCGTGCCTAGGGCCTAGCCATGGGCACCCATCCTTGCAGCTCCCCCTCCCACCGGCGGCGCAGCCTGGTGCTGCTGCCGTCCGCGGCTAGGTGTGGGACTTGCACCGGGTTGCGGGATGCACGCGGCCTGCTTCCTCCCGAAGCTTCTAGGGTGTCTTCTGGTACAGAAAAAATCATCAAAAAGTTTCGTGACATTTGGATTCCGTTTGGTATTGATTTTCTAAAAAGCCAAAAATAAGCAAATAACAACAACTAGCACTGGACACTAGGTTAATAAGTTAGTCCCAAAAAATGATACTCCCTTCGTCCCAAAATTCTTGTCTTAAATTTGTCTAAACATGGATGTATCTAGTTACATTGTAGTGTTAGATACATCCGCATCTAGACAAATGTAAGACAAGAATTTTGAGACGGAGGAAGTATAAAATTGCATATAAGTGCATATAAAACATCCAAGATTGATAATATAATAGCATGAAACAATAAAAAATTATAGATACATCGAAGACGTATCATGACGTCGTCCACCTTCGAGGACCCCCACTTCCCCTTCAGGCTGGCATCTGCTATTGTTGAGGATGGTGGGAGCTTGGAGGGGCGAGCTAGGGTGGGGATTGGATCTGGTCCGCTAGAGTTTCGAAGGCTGGGATGCAAGAGAGGTGTGAGAGCGTGAGGAAGACGGACAGGAGTCCCTCGCTTTTATAAGGCAGTAGAAATGCGGAACGTCCCCCCCCTTCCCCCGCCGCCCCCAACTACGCCATAATAATCGCCATGTTTCGGCTGAGTATTGCCGTTACAGACGCATGATATGAATCAATCGGTTGATGGTATCCCCTAAAACGCGGGCACGATCTCTTTGACAAGACGTCCCAATGAGAGGGTTACCTCGAACCGCAATTCGAACAAGTAATAACTGGCATGCATGATGTCATTGGTGGTGACGCTTCAGGTAAAATTGTCAGTTATTGATCGCTGAGCACGCTAGTGAGTTTGGCCTTCGGGGCTAAGTCAGTCGAACCCTTCGACTAATGGAAGTACTTCGGGAAATCACGTGGTCGGGCGATCTTGTACCTTCGAGGGAGGTCAGGCTGGTCCAAGGGAAATCCGACCTTAGTGTGCATTGGAACTCACCTGCCAAGCCGAAGACACTTACCAGCCGAAAACTTCCGTCCAAAAAGAATGGTTGCCCTCAGCTTTGAAGGCAAGTTCAGGGGTTACTAGCGGTGTCCTGGGCTAGGGGGTCACTACTTGGGAAAACCTTATACACAGCATCTTAGCAGTAGCTTTGGACAAAATCATGCGCTACTACTACTTAGTAGTAGCGCGTGTAAATAAACTGTGACGCCCAGGTAATTAAGCTACAGTGAACCTCTGCTAATGATGCCACGTCACCTCGGTTACTGCCGATAAACTCGCGTTAGTTTAAAACCGATTCAAATTAAATCTGAATTGAAGTCAAAAAAATAAAATTTTCAAATATTAAAACTAAATTGTTCGGCTTGTGCCAAATAATGCATAGGTAATTATGATGGAGAAACCACATTTTTATAAAAGATTTAAGTGCACTTAAGTAATTAGAACAGTGGGTAAAACAGCTAAATAAATGCCTTTTAGATTTTATAAAAATACAAACTATTTTAAATAACCACCACAACTTCCGTGGCAGTGTCTAATATTGCATTACTAATTATGGGCCAAGTCTCATATATTATAAGACCGATATAATATTCAAAGTAAATAGAAAACAAAACAAATAAAAAGAAAAGTAGAAAAATTAAAGAGAAAAAGAAAAAGTCAAAGTACTACTGTGCACTTCGGCCTCCTTGCTACAGGAACCGGCCCAACCCACCACCATAACCTTCTTCAACCTCCTGTTCACCACGGGCGAGGTGGACGCAGCGCGTGCGTCCGTGGTCAGGATGGCCACGCGCCGGCCATCC